CTCTCTTCCCTGTAGTCCTGACCAGCCCCCTGTTCCGTCCTCTCCCACCTCCCTGCACTCCCCGGCACACCCTTCACCCAACTCCTTCCCAAAGGCAGCCCCTCCTCCCGGGAGTCCCGACCTTTTTATGGAGTCTCCTGCTTTTTCCTCCCTTTAGCAAAGGTGGGCAAGTCAGAGGGGAGGTGGAGGGAGGAGGATAGGGCAGTCTCCTCATCTCGCCTGGCCTCCCTCGGCCCCTAGCCCCTGAGGGGAGGGTCGGCAGTGTTGTCCCATAGGCAGTGAACTTAGGGCCTCACCCCGTTTCTGTCGGGGCTGGTCCCCTCCCAAGCAGTGGAGTCTGTACCTGCCAATCAGGGCGGGGCTGGCTCCTGGGCCTCCAGTCCAGACTGGAGTCGAGGCTCAACGTGAGGCTCGGGCTCCCCCTGGTGGTCAAGGAGGGGACAAAGCGAGCTCCTTGTTGCAGGTGGCAGAACTCAAGGGTCCCCGACCAGTGGGGATAGTTGGGGGACCCTTGAGTTCCGTGGAGAAATGTACCCATAGAGTGACTCCAGTTGGGCCTTCTGTTTCTGGAAGTCACCCTACAGGGGTTGGAGGTGCTCCCCAAGAGTCCCTGTGAGCCTGTTGGGGTCACCCTGACAGGGTCAGGGCAAAGGCCACAGGGACACAAGGTCCCAGCTGCAGGGACATCCCTTGTAAAGACTGGCTACTTTGCTTCCAGACCCTGATCATTCTGTGGAGTGTGAGGTCCTGAGTTGACTCCAAACTCCCAAGAAAAGCAGCGTTTCCACTCTTATGATTCCCCCCCAACCACCACTTAAATTCTTGCAGAAGCCGGGATGTTTCTAGGGCTACCTGTGCAACAGGTAATCATGTGTCTATTGAGTACCCAATGTTTTATTTTTTGTGGTGTGGGGCGAGCACCAGATTTTTCATGGTATGTAATTTCAAATAAATTAAAATCTGAAAACAAGCAGTGTTTTTCTGCAAAACAACTGTTTTGGTAGGTCTAGGTATCACTTTAAACAGTGAATTGAAGATTTAATGTCCAGGGGCTGGGATTGTGGCTCAGTGGTAGAGCACTCGCCTAGCATGTGCAAGGCACTGGTTCCATCCTCAGCGCCACATAAAAATAAATAAATAAATAAAATAAAGGTATTGTGTCCAACTACAACTAAAAAAATATTTTTTTAAAATTTTTTTTTAATATTTATTTTTTAGTTATCGGCGGATACAACATCTTTGTTTTGTATGTGGTGCTGAGGATCGAACCCGGGCCACACGCATGCCAGGCAAGCACGCTACCGCTTGAGCCACATCCCCAGCCCCAAAGAATTTTTTAATATTTTATTTTTTAGTTTTCGGCGGACACAACATCTTTGTTTGTATGTGGTGCTGAGGATCGAACCCGGGCCGCACGCATGCCAGGCGAGCGCGCTACCGCTTGAGCCACATCCCCAGCCCCTAAAAACATATTTAACAAAAGATTTAATGTCCAAATTGAGATATGTTATGTGAAGTACACACTGGATTTCAAAGAAGTAATTATAAGGTAAGATTTAAAAATAACTAATTAATTTTAAAATATTAATTATACACTGAAATATTTGGGGTATATTAATTTTTTAAAATATTTGCCTCTGGGGAGTGAAACCAGGCACACTCCACCACTGAGCTACATCCACAGTTCTTTTTATTTTTTAGATTTTTGAGATAGGGTGTTGCTGGGTTGCTCAGGCTGGCCTTGAACTTGCTATCTTCCCACCTCAGACTCTGTGCCACTGTCTGGCTTAATTTTATTTTAAAACAAAGCCAACAAAATGTGGGCACTAGAAAGTTTTTGGTTACTCACGTTCACGTAGACCACATTCTATTTTTATATTTCTGCTCTAGGGAGCAGGTCCCCAATAAATCTGGTTTTATTTTCTGACTCCCTTGGAGGCCTCAGAGGTTGGGGATGTATGTGGGGATAAGCCCTGATCCTTAGATGTAGCACAGGATCAGAAGAGGGACCACTGGACAGCTCAGATAGGTGACATCTGATAGGGTCCCAAATAGCAGGATAACAGATAATAGGTGCCCACAGCTAGTGGGGCTGGAGATGGGACCCGGGCTTAGCACAGCATAAGCTCTTGGAAAGGCACTCAGGCGGGGCCTGAGGCCCCAGGTTCAAGCCTCAACCATGCCTCTCCCTGTGTGTCTACACTGCTTGGCATCTCACAAGAAGTTAATGGGCAAAAGAGTCAAAGCTTGTTCTGCTTACCAGAGTACTCTCCGTGAGGCTCACAAGGAGAGCCCTCTTCAGTCATGGTTGGTGGTGGGCATCACTGGAGGGAGGCGTTATGGAAAAGTCTACATGTTTCTGGAATGATTTGATGGCACATTTTTAAAAAAATCTGTAGAAATGGGGACTGGGGTTATAGCTAAGTTGGTAGAGTGCTTGCCTTGCATGCACAAGGCCCTGGGTTCAATCCCCAGCACCACCACCACCACCACAACAAAAACCTGTAGAAATGTATTTTTTAAAAGGGTCATTTCAGCCTGGCATAGTGCCTGTAATCCCAGTGACTCAGGAGGCTGAGGCAGGAAGATTGCAAGTTAAGGTCAGCCTCAACAGTTTAGTGAGGTCTTGAGCAACTTAGTGACACAGACACTGTCTTAATAAAAAAAAATAAAAAAGGGGTGAGGATGTGGCTCAGTGATTAAGCATCCCTGGGTTCAATCCCCAGTACCAATCAATCAATCAATCAATCAGTAAATAAGGCTGGATGTGTAGCTCAGTGGTAAAGCACCCGAGTTTAATCACCAGTACCCAAAATGAATTTATGAATGAATGGGTCATTTCATGCTTTTAAATGAATACAAGTGGCCTATAGCTGGCTAGGGATATAGGAGGGCAAGCTGAAGGAGACCCAAAGCCCAAACTGCATCTGCCATCTGACACTGCCTCTTTGGTTCACTGACTACGGGGCTCCCAGAAAGTTTGAGTTTTTCTCTTAGGGTGCCCAAGTCTGTTCCTGCTCCTTCTGACTACTTGACTTAGGAGCCAAGTCCTGAACTCCAAAGAGCTCTGAAGAGTCCAGGACCACAGAAATGCCCAGTCTTTGTTCAAAATAAATATCCCGTAGGTTCAGTGGCACAGGTCTGTAATCCCAGCAACTCTGGAGGCCGAGGAAGAAGGATTCCAAGTGTGAGGCCAGCCTGGGAACTTAGAACTTGTCTCAAAATAAAAAGAACTGAGGATGTAGCTCAGTGGTAAGGCTGCTCCTGGGTTCAATCCCTAGTACTCCCCCCCCCCCAAAAAAAAATCATTCATTATACACACACACCCACACCCCCTCCCCCACACACCACAGCCAGAGGGAAAATGCTCCTTTCCCACCTTTTAATGTTAAATTCCTGAGGGTCAGGGGAAGACTTTTCTTCCTTGAGGTATTGGGCTTGAGAGCAGAACTTGGCCTAAGGCAGGCTACCCTGGACTCCTTACAAATAAAGCTGCTCAGTCTGTCTGGTGGCTCCAGGGCATCTGCAGGTCCAAAGATGTGGGCATCCTAAAAATCCTGTCTGTTCTGGTTCTAGGTGGGGACGGGGACATCCCTGGATCCAGTGTCACATCAACTTACTCTCTGGGGACAGCAGCCTTCAGAGATAGCAAGCGAAGTTAGAATGAATTCAACTTCTCGGGCTTTGGGCCCTAGACAATGTATCTCAGAAACTTGGGATCCCCCTTCCCAGGAAAGGGGCAATGCCTCAGGCAGGAAGTGGCAAGTCACCAGTGACCCAGGGAAGCAGCTGAGGGGTGAGTGATGCTGGGCTCTCACTGGGTGGGGAGGGAAGTGGTACCAAGCTCCAGTGAATGCAGAGACTGCTTCTGGGGTAGTTTTCAGAGGAGCTGCCCTGGACATTGTTTTAAGCAGAGCGATGGGTCATGTGACCCAGGTTTCTCTTCTTCCTTTGTCAGTTGAATAGCGGATGCCCAAAACTCCCAAAGCTCTTGGGGTCTAACGCTACCTGTCTTGAAACTGGTATCCCGAGGATTCATGTAGTGTCCTCTGGAGATTGAGATATGGTGCTTTGGAGCTGCATGGAGTTGGAGTCACAGGTGTCAGAAGCACTAGTCTGGAGACCTCATTGTACAGCTGAATGCCTGAGGCTCACAGAAGCTCCATCCAGGAGCTCAAGGTCACTGCTGGTAATTGGGAGAACTAACAGCTCTGGTGGCCCGACCTCTGGTGGGGGGGGGTTGGTGAGCACCAACTGCAACACACGACCATGCAGGGAGAAAGAAAATTTGGGGAATGAACGAAGGGGAAAGTGGAAGAGGGGATGGGCAAAGAGCAGGAAACCAAAGGAAAATTCTTCCCTTTGTTTTACAGCTTTTTAACAAAGCCACGGGCAGTGCTGGTCAGACTGCCTGAGCAGCATTGCCATCTGGCGGTCATCAAGGGCATGCGTACTAGGAAGGAATGTCTAATTGGTCTAAGGCAGCGATGGCTCACTGGGGAAACCAGCTGCTGTCCCACCTGAGGCAGGGTGGAAGCTGGCAGAGAGCCAAGGAACTACTGTTTTGGCTGATCCTCCCAGAAGAGATGGCTTTTCAAGGTACTAGTGGAAACTCTTCTCAGCCCCATTTCTAGCCAGCAGCCATCCTTATCTGAGGACAGAACTGTGGGCAGGGCCTCCTGGTTATTATTACCTGTGGGCCACACATTCTCTTCCCACACCAATCCGGTCAACTGTCTTATAAAAGTTGTTCAGAGGAGCTGGAGGAACAGCAAGTTGTTTAGGTACCAGGGAATGAATTTAGGGACTCTACCACATCCCCAGCCCTTATCTTGTATTTTATTTAGAGATAGGGTCTCACTGAGTTGCTTAGTGCCTCACCATTGCTGAGGCTGGTTTGAAAAATCCTCCCTCAGCCTCCAGAGCTGCTGGGATTATAGGCGTGTGCCACAGGGCTCAGAGACATCATGGGGCTTATCTTATTGATCAAGGTCCAGCCATTTGCCAAGGTATATACACATTTTATTTAAAAAAGTTTACAGTTTTCATTATACACAACTATTAAGAGGTTATAGTCAGAGGAGGCATTTGTCTTGGTGACAGACATGCCACAAGATCATCACAATGCAAGGAAAAAGGTGAAAGGAAGGAGATGGGGCAAGGAAAAAATAAGCAATAAAAAGCTTCGATTTCAATGAAGGGCTGGTAAGTCCCTTTTCTCTCTTCAAGTATCACACAATATGTACCAAATACAATCAGTAAATAATGGCCATTTCTTCCCAAGCCCACAGCCAAGATGAGTATTTGCTAAATTAAGAGCCCTGGCCCTTCCTCAGGTGAGCAAAAACCCTCCTGCCCCAGAGGGCTCCACTTTATCCAGTCCCTGATGGGATCACAAGGTGTCCAGTGGCCAGAGGAAGTATGAACATGGATTCAGAAGTCCAGAAAAATGCAGTTCTTTGTGCCCAATCAGAAATGATTTGATTTTACTCAACAAGGCTGTGAACCCAGTTAGGAAGTTGATGAAATGAAGTAAAACTCTTGCTCACTTTTGTAAATGGCTTTCACTTTTCTAATCGAGTCACTAAAACATTAAAGGGCCACATGCCATTTAAAATCAAAAAGTAGTTCCCAGAAACATGTGCCTAGGAACTTGACCCACAGAGGCTAGCAGAGGGCCTGTCATGATTCTCAGCCATCCCAGCAGGAGGCCTAGGAAAAGCAAGCCTCAGGACAAGGCCAACTAGGGTTTCAGGGAGCCTTTTTGAGGGCAAAATTCCTTCAAGGGGAGACACTCCTCCGCAGCCTAGATTAGCCCGTTGGCAATTAGAACAGTTTTTGAAGTGGATGAAAAGTATCAGCATTGGAGAGTTTATATGGCAACTTTGATAATTATCTCACTAGTAGAAAATGCTGGTTGAAAATGCACAGTAACCTCAAGAAGGGTGACAAGACTGAAGACAAGCTCAAAAGCCAGTGTCTGATTGGCTACTGTTGAGCATGGCCCAATGGTCACCACGCTAGGCTTCTGGAGGGCACTGGGTTCATGCTGCAGGGCTACAGTCACCTGGCTCCTTAGTGCTTGGTGAGAGCTTGAGCTGTCATGTAAATAGGGGCAAAGGATAGCGTGTGCTGGTAAACCAGTTAGGATTTCAAAAATTATGGGTACCAAGAGTAATTTCCAGATGCAGCTTTTGACCTACTTCCATTGCCTCTAAAGCCAAGCATGTTCAGCAGAGCGTACACACACACCCGCCCCAACACCCTGGAACCATCTCTGGAGGCTTGAGTGTTAGAAGGGACACTTTTGGACAGCTCCGAAAGGCTTTTGGGTGTTGTAACCCCCTCTACTGCAGATTTAACTCCTCTCATAGGTGAGCAACTTAGAGACCCAGCCAGGCCTTCTTCCTTCTCTGTACCACCTGTATCAGCTCCTATTCCACCCTGCCCAGGAGCTGGGAAGGAGCAGTGTTAGTCTAATAAGAGATCCTTCCAACCTACCAAAAGCCAATTTCCCAGAGCTGAGGAAAAGGCCAAGAGTGCCAAAACATGCCTGCGACCAGGGTTAGTGCCAAGATGGGGTAAGTGCACAGAACCAGGGTAGTGTGATTTGGGTGGGAATCACAGGAGCTTCCATTGCTAACAGAAGCCCAATTAGACCTTCCCCACAAACTCAAAAACACGCACTCACGCACACTCTGTAACTACACTCAGACTTGCTGCTTAGCCCTTGAAGCCCCCACCTGTCTTCACGTGGAAATTCTGCATTATCAGCCCCGAACTGCTGCCACTTCACACCAGGCAAGCTGATGGCTTTTCCCTGAAGCAAAGTGGAGATGATTTCCCAGTGAGGGGCAGAGCTGTGACGCTGCTCACAGACCTTCCCTAAACTTTGTTCTATTAGGGATTTTTTTTTTTCTTGGACAAGATCAAAACCAATTATTTATTTTTTTTTGGAAAGGTAATTAGAACACTATTGTTTGTACAATATTGAAAAAATACAATTTATTGTTTGAACTCAAATCATCACCCAGCACTTCAAGCCTATTCTAAGTAAAGGCTACAGAACAAGCAATCTGCTAAAGTGCAGGGAAGCAGGTCCCACAGGGCTGGCAGAGACCCTCCCTCCCGTAAGGCCATGAGAAGACAGCAAGCCAGGTCAAGTACACCATCACATGTTAAATAGTTAATACTACCCTTCCAACACGCCACTAATGCTAGCAATAGTCAGTATAGTTAACTAACCACAGCCCTACAGAACTGCATTTTTCAAAAAGAAAACCTTTTGCTTCATGCCCGTAATTAACATAAAGTTAGTAAATTCTGTGTCTTTTTATTTAGGAAAATAATCATGCTAAAAGCAAGTTGTACTTTCTAGATTTTCAAAGAAAAGATTGATTGTGCTTTTTGAATTAAAAAAAAATAGGGTATCCTTCCAACCTCACTGACTTAAACCTTGTGGAATACAGCACTTCTAAACTAAAGACACACATCAGAAAGAAAAATTATCCCAGGGACACTCAAAAGTTGTCTTTAGAGGCTTTTAGGATTAACTAATTCTGCTTTTGTCCTACTGGTTGCAGGGCAGGGGTGGGGAGCTGCTGTCTATAATGTCTCCAAATTCCCTCCAGATACAGCAGGCAACACTCAGATTTGAAAGAAAATTCCACCGCAACCTGGACGCAGGGTTAGGTGAGCAAACATGGGACTAGCAGGCATTTTAAACTGAATTGCTCTGAACCCACCCAGGACAGAAAGTGACCTTCCTTCACAACCCACCCTACTAGTGCATGTTTCAGGATTCCTTCTTCCTTGTCAGTCACTCTCTGAAGATAGCGGTTTTTCCCACGTAGAGCCACTTTGGGTACAAGAAACTTTATTTGTTCCAATTGTTATGCATCTTAAATTTAGCATGTGTGTTGGGTCTGAAATACTCATTTCCCACTCCCACAAGCATATGATGACCAGGCTGCTGCCAGGAGCAGCAGCAGGAGAGAAAACAAAACCCAAGCATTAAAGAGGGCCCAGGGCCTTGCAGCCACCAGGCAGATCTTCTTCCCAGGTCTAAAAGTCCACTGAGCGGCTTGTCCAGCGAGGAGACCATCTCTTGGTAGGTGAAGTTTAAGTTTGTTATCTGTCTAAGCACAATTCTCACACACATACACACACCCCCTCCCCCCCCAAAAAAACAAAAAAACCCCCCCCACACACACACACAAAACAAACAAACAAACAAAAAAACCCAAACAAAAAACCACCACCAACAAACAACAAGCCCCTCCAGTTTAAAGCTCTTAGTCCAGGGCCGTGGTCTCAAGCTGGCCCAACACTAGGATGTGACTTTTCACTGTTGGATGAGAGGAAGCATCTTCCAGTCACTTTTCTCCTCCTGTCCGCTCAAAAAAGGTCTGGATTACAAGCTGTACCCCAAGAAAAAGAATTGGGTTCAGAAAACACTTCCAAAAGCTTCTCCAAAGCAAAATGCTGTGGCCACAGGTCTGGTAGCGTGAAGGGCAGGAATCTACGTATAAAAACGTACTTAAAATCAGTCAAAAAGATGTTTTAAGTTTCAATTCTCCAATTGGCTCCCTGTTTTACACTGTTACTCCACAGAAACGGGCCCACTGAGGACTCTTGGAGGAGCAGCTGATTCGTACACGGCTGGCTCTACATGCTCCCACAGCAGGCCTCTTCCTCCCCAATTTTTTTCTTTCCACTTTGAAAAAGCACTATTCTATCTTCATGTCCAAGAGCTGGTTGGTTTGGTTTGTTTCTTTGGAACCATCAATAAAAGAAGCAACTTTTTCCTGTTAGTTTTACTCATGTCTACCTATCGAGCGGCTATTTCTTTTGACAGTTCAGTAGCACACAGGCTGACTTGGCCAAATGGACTTATGAATGCATGCATTCAGACCGCATATTGCTACCAAAATGGAATGTGGGAATATGCTATGCACCTCAGGTTGAGAAATGACCAAGAAATCAAGATCTAAAGGGTGATATATAATATATATATATCAATGCTATTATTCATAAAAACCTTGTTTAGTAATAAAAAAAATTGCTTTGTTTAAATATGAATATTATAGTCTGCTTCTCATGGTTAGGAAATAATAGTCTTTCTGAAAAGCAGGTGCTTTTTCTACTACAACTCCATGTCCTGGGCCTCATCTTCCGAAAAGTCAGACATAGAACTCTCCGATGAGCTGTCACCAGTGCCCTCTTCTTGCTCCTTCAGGGCCTCCTCCGTTGCATATTTTTGGATGTACTCTGCATGGAGTGGGGGAAAGAAAACATCAGTAGGTGAGTGGGCAGACATGTGCTTTTAGTGACCCCAATGCTGTCAAGTCCCACAGAGGTTCAGACTCCTCTTCTATAGTAGGGGCGAAAAGATGACATTTAGTATGGTCACTGTAGCTAAGGGGGACCCTACAGGGGAGATGGCAGTGGCAACACGGAATACTTGATTTTCAGAAGGATAACTACTTTTCATCATCATCCTGGAATGCTGGAGGGATGGGAGAAATGATATTTCTCCACACTTGATATGTTTTACTTTGATGTTAATAAAGCGACTCACACCCCAGATACAACAGGACTAGTTAGGATTCCACAGAAATTTATCAGAAAATCCCCATCATTTTCAGATTTGCAGTTGTATAATTATAGCTAGATCTATTATTATTTAGTCTACACAGATCCTGCCTGTCAGATTTTGGAAGCAGCCAGCAAAAACCATCTCCCAGACTGTTCATCAGAATGAGCTGCTATTTGGAGGCACAGGAGCCTCTGCGTGATTTTACCATGCATTATTCACCTGAAGATTTATGCTGCTAGTGCCTAGTCTCAGTCTACTGGCTGAAAAAGAATTTAAGAACTGCTGAATAAACAATGAACATGTTCCTAAAATTGCACACTGTTTTCAAGTAAATCACACACAATATGAAGAGACAGGCAGACAGTACAAATCACATCAAGAATGCAAGCTGGTGCCAGTGGCACACGCCTGCAATCCCAGCAACTTGGGAGGCTGAGGCAGGAGGATCCTAAGGTTCAAGGCCAGCCCCAGAAACTTGGTGAGGCCCTAATCAACTTAGTGAGACCCTGTTTTAAAATAAAAAATAAAAACATTGAGCTGCAAATGGCTCAGTGGTAAAGTACCTCAGAGTTCAATCCCCAGTAACCCCTACCCCCTGATAAAAAGATTGCAAGCTGTTCAGGCACAGTGGTGCACTCCTGTAATCTCAGCAAGTCGGGACATTGAGGCAGGAGAATTACAAGTTTGAGGCCAACCTCATTGACTTAGCAAGGCCTTGTCTCAGAAAAAATGTGGGGGTGGTGGGGGTGGGAGTGGTTTGGTATATCTCCACGGTAGAGCAACCCTGAATTCCCACTACCACACCCACCCACCCACACAAAAAATCACGTGTCCTTGTAGTTTTGTCTTTTCTACTATGTTGTTGCAGGGATGGAGATAGGCAGATGGCTTCATGGATTGCCAACTTCTAGGAAACCACAGGGCTATAACTAAGAATATTTTTCATATGTTCTTTACAAAGTTTGCAGACTTGAAACTTTAAGCCCTTTAAGTTCATAACAAAACTTGATACCAAGTTCATGAAGTTTAACTAGCCCTAATCTAGGTAAGAATTTACTTTTTGGAGTGAGAGAAATATTAAAGCCTTAGAAATTTTATTTGTGCCTGGCTATTCTGCTTCTTCCTTCACAGAAATTGGTCACACTGACATTGTTTTTTGACACTGTAATTTGATCTATCAGCTTTCTTTAGTATAGTCAAGGGACAGAGCTGGCCTATAATCCTGGCACTTGGGAGGCTGCTCAAGCACCAGCAGGGAAGCAGCTTGGGAAGAAATCAGCGGAGGGTCCTGGGAGGGAGGTCACAACCACACTGATCCCAAGCTCTGCTAGCTGCAGCATAGGACAGGCCATTCTAGGAGAAAGGCTTGGAAAAGGTAAGTGGCTGGGAGTGAGAGCACAGCAACAAAAGAGAACTGTTTGAGTCTTTTTTCTTGAAAGAAATCTGAAGTACATAAGGCAGAATAGTGAGGTTTTGCTACAGGTCAGTGGTGGGTTTATGGTAATTGTTTTTCTCCATAGATTTAAAACTATCCATGACAATGAAATTATCCATTAACGAAAGAAAAGAATATACCTGGGTGCCTGAAACTCCTCCAACTTGACTGTCACATAGTGACACATTTAGAGAAGTAAAGGCAAAGATGTCGATTACCTCAGTAGCAGAAAACCTGGAATAATGGAACACTTCATGCCACTCAGCAAAGGTTTTTGAGCAGAAAGTGACATGTTTACACAGCTCCAAGGGTGCCCAGTTCTTCAGGCTGTTCAATATTTAAACCTGTTTTCAGGTTTCATTTCAAATGTACACTCTAAAATGGCACTGACAAGTTTCCAGGACAGGAAAGGGTTCGAAGTGATGTAAATGTGCTGCTTTTGTGGTGACTGCCACACAACAGCTATGCCTGTCAGGCAGCCTGGGAGAGGGTCAGGCCAAGACACACACATTTGGAAAGCATTGACCTGGAGGAGTACCTGATACTGAGAGAAGTGGATAGCTCCTCAATGGGGTACAGAGGGGTCTAAAGACGAATACATATGAGAACTGTCACATTTGGCAAGTGACATGAGAAATTTTCAGAAAGGTAAGGAGTGAAAGATCAAAGCTGCAGAGAGGTCGAAGAAAATAGAACTTGAGATGGGTCCACAGGATCAGAAGAATTGAGGTCACAGATTCAGGAGAAGAGGGGAAACAACTATGGAGTTTAAGGCAAGGAAGCAGGAAGTTTGAAGATGAAATAGATAGCAAGATTCCTAGAGGACCCCACATGAGCAGATAAAGGCTTCTGAAACAGGGCAGCTCTGGCAGCAGGGATAGAACAGGAAGGGAGAACAAAACACAGGCTGGTAAGGAGTGAGTTTTGGAAATAAAATGGGACACCTCTTATTCCTGTGAGGACAAAGAAAAGGTGAGAGGGCTAGATAATAAAGGCACAGCAGGAGGCAGGGATGCACTCAGGTCTGATGGCCTTGAGTCCTCAGGTCACCAGGAAGATAAAATTATCACCAATTAACAATGGATTCCTTTTGTAACTGGGACCAGAGAAGATATGCACAAAAATAAGGCTAATGTTAAACTGCTGAGGCATAATGAATATGAGAGCTATAGAAATATATTCTGCACTGAGATATCTGTGGTTTGCAGATGCTGTTAAGCGATTCCTATGTCAAACTTTAGTATGTTCTCATAATAGAAATTTATCTGGTTGAAATGACTGCCTTTTTTTTGGAATACCTGTTCACTTGGATATGCAGATACTGTGCTACATAAATTAAATATTAATTTGAGATCTAAGTAAATTATACTAGATTTATTTCTGCTTTATCTAAAAAAAAGCTCCAAACAATACCCTACCAGAGACTACAGAAAATGAGGAAACAAACAGAAGGAAAACAACTGTTCAATAAATACCCACAATGTTCCTGTTTGTTTTATGCCTGACACAGTTAAGACTTAAGGACTACAAATAAGAACTATATCTTCAAGCTCTCATAAAAACTACTGCAGTCTCTTACAAATATATCTCAAAGGCCCACACATTTTGAGAAAGCTGACACATGGATCCTCTGCAGATGAGAAAGTTGTATTAAAACTGGGAGGATACCAGTGCCTGCCATTTGATAAGAGCAGGTACACTTTCACCAATTGAATTTTTCTTCTTTTTAATTGAGTTTTATGTATCTAGATTTTTCAAATGTGAAAGTTCTCAAACACACAGAGGTGAAATGGAAAAGTCAATGATCATGAGTAAGACCACTGGAACTATAGCTTTCTTTCACATATTTTCCTTTCAATAAAATTTCAGCCCCATTAATATACAAGCTGTCTTAATTATGGGAGAGAAAAGGATTCTAAATCCTAAGGGCAAACCAATTGGCACTCTACCATGATAAACTGGAGGTTGGCAAGTACTACTTCAGTCCACAACTGTCTCTTTTTTTAGGTCTGAGAAAAATTGAGGAACTAAGCTCCTTAAGACTTTTAAGTGACTTAAATTCTTTTGACTCCAGTTTAAACTATGTACCTTCTTACCTTTAATTTTCTGCTTGTATTCTTCTGGTCGGTGGAGGTACATGGCTGCAGCATCACCATTGAGAGGATCTATGGGGTTAGGATAGGCCAACAACTGAGGCAGGAAGGATTCAAATATATTGGTAAGATCTGAAACAGACAAACAAACAAGCACTTCATGCATGGGAACAGGAACATGCAAGTTCACCTAAACCTCAACTGAATTCAGTAATAAAACCTGCTTAACTTCTTAGATAAAAAAAAAAAAAAGTTGTTTTTTTGTTTGTGTTTTTTCACTTCATCTGCTATTATTTTTGTTTATTTTTATGTGGTGCTGAGGATTGAACCCGTGCCTCACATGTACCACTGAGCCACAACCCCAGCCCCTTAGTTTTTTCAAACTACACGAGGATGACTTTCCATAAAAGCGTGCACCACTATATGTGACCTATATTACATATGCATTTCAATGACAATTGAACTTTTAAATTTGAATTAATTTTTTTTGCAGTGGGTGGTAGGAATCAAGCCCAAGGTTTCATGCATGGCAGGCAAGTGCTCTGCCACTGAGCCCTTTCTCCCCAGCCCTTGTTTTTAAATTTTGAGGCAGGGTCTCATTAAGGTGCCCAGGCTGACTTTGTCCTTGAGATCCTCTTGCCTCAGCCTTCTGATTGGGATATGCCACCATGCTCAATTTCATTTTAACTTGAAGAACCAGATTCAGATATACCTGATATTTGCTTTGAAAGGCAATTCTCCTTAAAATATAAATATATATAATAATAATATATTTAATTTTGTGGTACTGGGATGGAACTCAGGGCCTCAGCAAGCACTATTCACTGAGCCATATCGCCACCCCCAATTTTCCAATTCCATGTTACTCTATTTTCCAAAATGAAAACTTAGAAATACTGCACATATTATCAAAACTTGTGCCCAAACTCTAAGGTACCCTATATTCTTACAAAATGAACAGTTTCTTAAAATAGCCATCTTTACAACTTTTAAAGTCCTCTAAAAAGTATTCAAGTACCAGATCTATAAGAACTGAACAAAATTGTATAGGACTTGATATTTTAATTCTCACTTTTTTTTTTTTTGTTACTAAGGATTGAACCCAGGGGCATTTTATCTCAGAGCTACATTTCCAGCTCTTTTTTAGAGAAGGTTCTCACTAAGTTGTTTAGGGCCTCACTAAATTGCTGGGACTGGCCTCAAACTTGTGATCCTCCTGCCTCAGCATCTCAAGCCCCTGGGATTACAGGTATGCACAATCGTGCCCATCTCTAATGATTTTTATTTTTACAATGAACCTTCTATGCAGTGTTACATGTGAATGTGCTGCCAAGTCATATCACTTGAGATTCGTGGTTTTTTAACCTCGGGTTTTGCTCCCCAGGGGAATCTGGCAATGATGGGAGACATTTTTGGTATTATAACTAGGGGCTGCAACTGGCATCTAGTGGGTAGAGTCCAGGGATGCTGCTGTAGCATCCCACAATGCACAGGATAGCCCCCCACAACAAACAATTTTCTGGACCAGAACTACAGTGCTGAGGCTGAGGAAACTGGCTCTTGAGAAGAGGTGAGCAAAGCTTTTTGCAAAGCATCAGTAAATACCTTAGGCTTTGTGGGCCCACTTAGTCTGTATTCAACAAACAGCTCTGCTACTGTAGCACAAAAGCAGCCAAAGATAACAGCTAAACAAATGGGTGTGGTTGTATGCCAATAAAACTTTATATACAAAAATGGGTAGACTGTTTGCCAGACTCTGCTCTAGAAAACTCTCAACTTAAGAGGTGGCTCTTCCTTACCACTGTAAGGTTAAGAAACTGAGCAGTTAGAATACTCTGGAGCTGCATTATTCAACAGGACTTTCTGCAGTGATGAAAATTTTCTCTACCTGCACTGTCCAAAACAGTAACCACCTGTCACATGGCTAGAATGACTATGGGAATAAATTTTTCATTTTATTTAAATCTAATTTGAATTTAAATGACCACTAATGGCTAGAAGATGCTGGATTGGGAGGCACCGGTCTGAGAATGATGTACATAGCTCCTTAACAGCTAGATACTGAAACCAAACAACTTTTTTTTTTTTTTGATACCAGGATTGAACCCAAAGGCACATAATAACTGAGCCACATCCCCAGCCCTTTTAAAAAAATATTTTGAGAAAGGTCTTGCTAAATTGCTTAGGGCCTCACTAAGGGCTGGCTTTGACCTTTAAATCCTCCAGTCTCAGCCTCTGAGATTATAGGCCTTTACCACTGTGCTCAGCCTTTGTTTTCCCTCTCTTAATCCTTGGGTTGGTAGGTGAGTTTTTAGGGTAATGACAGAAAATGCCAAAGAGCAAGCAAACTAAAAAGATTCACAAACTCTCTATTTTACACATAAAGAAACCCAGGTACACAGAGGTTAAGTAATTTGCCCAAAAGGTTGGATTTCAAACCTGGGCATATCCACTATGTTACCTCTGTTAATGGATTAAAAAAAAAGGAGAGGGGAATGTTTCAATTTTCATGATAGCACAAGCTCCCCATATCTCTGCAGCAAAACTATATACCTTCTTGGGCAGGGGAGCCAAAGCCCACGGCTTAGAGACGAATCCACCCCTTTCTACAAGTGCTAGTCCAGCAGGACAAGCTCTAAGCAGACCATGTTTGGGTGTTTCTATGGTCCTTTCTAAGAAGCAATATGCTTGTTTGTAAGAGGACAGAGCTAGGGGCTTCTGTCACTCAGAAGGATTAGCTGCTGACTACACCTACCAAACAACAGAAATCTTTACAAAACAAAGTATAGGTTCTGTTCTCTGTAAGTAACACTGAGAAGTGCTTCAGGGCTAGAGAAATGCTGCAAACAATATACTATATAACTAGAGGTTTCCTGTATCACAGAAAGAGATTTTATACCCTTTCCTACTACCTTTAAGTTTTCACAAGCTACCAATAAGTGGCTTTGCCTACGTGTTTGTTCCAAACAAGTAAAAGAGCCCTTAATTATTGGTTCTTGCTTCCTGTGTTAACACACTTTTGATCCATTTTTACAGCTGCACTGAGTCACATCTACAACGAAGAGCAGAAAAGGAAAGTCCACAGCTTGGCTCTGGGTGAAGATGATAGCTTCTGCAGGCCATCTTAAGATTTTCTGGTCCTGACCACTTAAAAGCAGTGTGGCATTCCTCAAAGTGGCTAATAAGGGTGCTAAGAAGCCACAGTTCTCCCAAAAAGGAACATCTCTTAGATACGCAGATAATCTGCTTTCAAGATAAAGATGCTGCAATGGCACAGTGGCACACACCTAAAATGCCAGCAAATTGGGAGACTGAGGGCCAGGAGGATGGCAAATTCTAGGCCAGCCTCGGCAAGACCCTGTCTCTTTCTCTTGTGTGGGGTCCTGGAGATCGAACCCAGGGATCTGTACATGCTAGGCAATTGCTCTACTCCTGTAGCTACATCCCCAGCTTATGACACCCTGTCCCAAAATAAAAAATAAAAAAAGAGCTTGAGATATAGCTCAGTATACCCAATCTAGTGATTATAGTCAGCTGGCTCCATTTCTGGCTGCCCTATTTTGTACAAACTGTCCCAAGATCCCCGAGAAGCACAGTTTATGATGAGCCCTAGACTAAATCAGCAGGTATTGAAGTGTGGTTCTATAGCATTCATGTAATACTCTTACCCCAGTTAAGGAATAAAAACTATATATTCATATTATTTTTTTAAACACCCAAATCATGATTTCTCATCAAAAGCAGCATCATTTACCTCACTCAATCTACAGCAGTGGTCCCTAGGTGAGTCTAGGTCTTAGTTATAAGTTTATCAAAATCACCCACAAAGCTCTTCATACCTACCCCAGGGCTTCCAACTAGGACTGGCTGGCCTTGCATGCACATGATACAAATATCTGAGCACAAATGAGCAGCCAGGGACACTAGTCTATGCAGACCCTATCCCTAATGACCAAACTGGAAAGGTGTGGCTATTTGTTTGCAGGTTCTTTGGCTTAAGAAAACACAGGTTTGTCAGCTGAGGTGAAGAGGCTATGGCTGAGCAGTCTTTCCTGACCTCTTCTTCTCTTTCTGCATACTGCATCATCACCACCCTCTTCAGGTGGAGGAATGCCAAACCATAGGCAGGAAAAGGTGGATCCATTAAAGCAGCATTAAAAGGCTGATTTAGAGAATGGTAGGACACACACTGCTTAACACACTGTGGAGAGCAAGCAGATTCCATTAGGATGGAGTTTCCAGCAAAATGCAGGTTGGTTTCTCAGTGGTGAACAATGAATGAAAACCTAAAGTCTAATCTTGGGCCTTTCCTGACTTACTCTTTGACCTCGGGCAGGTCTCTTCCTCTCTGCATCTCAACTTCTGCAAAAAGAGAAGTATAACACTTACCAGGAAGTATTACACATTACTAAAAATGACTATAACATCTGCCACAAACTGCACTAAGGAGCTACACTAAAATATTAATACAAATGTAACATCTCTTAATTAAGAGTAGAAATTTCAGCTACTGTAATCCTTAAGGATTAAATGTTAATTAAAATGAGTCACACAGGAAAAAAAAAATCATACTAATTCTTAAAGTAAAGCTACCCTACCCCAGGTGATTCACAATAAGATGGCCTATCGTCTAAAGCGGAAAACACAGGAGGAACAAATAACACATCCATGTCTTATTCTTGGCTATTTATGATCCAGTGACCTTAAGTTATTTCTTCTTCCTCTATTTCCTTTGAACATCAAAATGGAAAATTTGGTAAAGTATGCTACTTTCTTGAGGTTATATTCCTATGGATGTTAAAGCAGGACATGGTCTGCCCACCAGGAAAGCAGGCCCCACTTGGCAAGCAGGCGGTCATCTTAGGGACTTTTATTTGCAGGATCTTCACTTGTTATATATATATATATATATATATATATATGTGTGTGTGTGTGTGTGTGTATATTTATTTATTTTTTTAAAGGTACCAGGGATTGAACCTAGGGATACTTAACCACTGAGCCACGTCCATAGTCCTTTTTGTTTTATATTGAGACAGGGTCTCATTAAGTTGCTTAGTGTCTCACCAAGCTGAGACTGACTTTGAACTTGTGATTCTCCTGCCTCAGCCTCCTGAGCTGCTGGGATTATA